GGAAAGTCACAGTGTAGACAGCATCTGAGTCAGACAGGAAAAATTAGTAGGAGTGTGCCAAGCTGGGAAGAAAGGAAAAGTCACCCCAATTAAAAAGATGTGATTGTTTGTTCAACCAATATTTGAATACCCATGAAGTGCCTGCCAGTATTCTAGGGACTGAGATTCTATGAGCAACACAGACAAGGTCCCTGGTCTCCAAAAAATTATGTTCTAGAAGGGAGAGTGAGGGGAGACAGATAAACAAGTAAATGATCCAGAAATGCTCAGTAAGTGATGCTTACCGCAGAGAAAATAAAGCAGGACTATGGGCAAGGAACTGAAGTCACTGAGATTGTGTCACCTGGTGTGACCTGGAGCAGTAATAGTTAGCCTCACCTGAACTGACGGAAAAAAAAAAAAAAAAACCACAATGCAGAGATCCTGGAACGGGCATCTGGAGTTTTAGCTGAGTGCAACAGGAACCCAAAGAAGAACTATACACAAGGGAGTGCTGGGAATTTTTTTTTTTTTTTCTTTTCAGATTATCACTCCTCCTGTTGGGTAGAGAACAGACTGTAGGATAAGAAAGGAAGCAGGGCTTCCCTGGTGGCGCAGTGGTTGGGACGCGGGTTCGTGCCCCAGTCCGGGAAGATCCCACATGCCGCGGAGCGGCTGGGCCCGTGAGCCATGGCCGCTGAGCCTGCGCGTCCGGAGCCTGTGCTCCGCAACGGGAGAGGCCACAACAGTGAGAGGCCCGCGTACCGCAAAAAAAAAAAAAAAAGAAAGGAAGCAGAGACCTGTTGGTGGGCTACTACAGCAGTCCAGACAGGGAAAAGCCGAAGGCATCTGTGGCTGGGGAATGGTAGTGCCATTCAGTGAGGCTGGGAAGACTGGAGAGGAAGTGGTGGTGGAGAATCAGGAGTTCTGTTTTGGCCAAGTTTGAGGAGCCGACAACGCACTCAAAAAGGGACGTCAAGCAAGCAACGGGATATAAGAACCTTGGGGTTTCTGGATAGGTCTAGGCTGGAGTTAGAAATGAGGACAGCAACAGCATACAGCTGGTATTTAAACCAATGGTGCTAGAGATGAGCTGGGTCAGCTGGGAGGAAGGTAGAGGGCTGAGTCCGGGGTCACTACAGCACCCACCTGACAGGGAAGGAACAACACGTGGCCATGAGCAGGTGTCTGCGAAGTTGTGAAAACACAAGTGCAAGCACTTAGTCTGCATGAATGTCACCAACGCATCCCAGTCACCAGAGAGGCTTACAACACTCAGCCTCTCTGTTAGCCTGAGGTGAGAGGTGGGCTACGGTCCCCTAACTTTCCGTTTTACAATCTCCTAAAACTAAGGTGACCATATCACTTAGTATTTCTTTTCTATTCATTGACAAATTTTATACAAATACGACCCTTGAGAATGAAAAGGGGAGCTTTTCTAACTCCATCAGCGCAAGAGCATAAACCAGGGTTGTCCCGGGTACACCCTGGCGTATGCTCACCCTTTCTAAAAACCTAAACGCCTGAACTGGACTTCTAAACGAAGGGACAATGCTCTGGGTAACATTTCCCACCAAAGCATCCTGCCTTTTCTCCCACAAATTCGCACAGAGAAGAAAAACTAAGCGGATGGGGAGGTGAAAAGAAAATTCCACCCAACCACTTTATGCACAGAAAGAGCACCTCGTGGGTCCTGAGGCGTCTCCCTGCCGGACAACCGAGCCCCTAAATTAAATGAAAACCAGGCACACCAGCGCTGGCTTCGTAGCTCAGCTGGGCATCTTACTGGCCCAGGCATCTCCACCTTTCCCAGTCTCGAGTTACCCGGCTGAAACCCGGGGACACCGCCCCCCAGAACGGCCGCGAGGAGAAGGGAGAAATGCTCGCCCCCGCTCAGCACTCGGCCTGGCAGGTAGGAGTCAAGGAGACGGCCCTCAGGGTGATAACAAGCACAGCGTAAGGGCCCACAGCACCGGGTTCGAGTCCCAGCTCTGCCCCTGGCCTACCAACGAAATGGGCTGGTCCCTTCGCCCGTCCTCAGCCCCGGGACACGAACGCCCACCTCTCTGGACCAGGCGGCCCAGCGCACCGGACACTCGGGCAGCGCGGCTGCAGAGGCAGCTTCCCTCACCCGGGGAGGGAGGGCGGCCACTGACCTGCTTGAAGGTGCTGGTGAGGAAGTAGACGAGCGAGAGCCCGAAGACCAGGGCGAGCACCCACCTCTTCCGCAGGAGCCGCCGCCACACCATGGCCGCCAGGTTCACCATCCCGGCGCGGAGCGGGACAGGCCCGGGGCCCGGGCGGCATGGCCCCTACGCGGCCGGCAGCCCCATGGCTCGCCAAGGCGGGCGCCGGCCCCGCGGCCCTCAGCCCAGCCAGCTCCCGTCAGCCACCCCGCGCCTCCCCACGTGACCTCGCCCCACACACACAGCCTGCACACCTCGCGCGTCACCCGCCGGCCTCGCTCGGCCTCCTCCTCATTGGTCCCTGCAGAGCGGCGGCTTCCTATTGGCTAAATTCCGGGAAGGGGGCGGGCAATCGTGTGCGTGCGGCCGGTGGAGTTGTTGCCCGGGTCTCAGCGCCGGGCGCCGCGACCTGAGAAAGAACCTGGGGAGAGGCCGGAAGCACTCGGAAGTCAGGTGCTCCCCGGGCCGAGCGAGTGATTGGCTTGGAAGCACGAGAATGATGCCGCTGAGATTGCCGAATCGTCTGGGCAGGTAAAAAGAGAACGTTATTTTTTTTCCCCCCCGGTATGGTCAGCGTAATCTCCTGCCCTTTCAGTCCTGGGGCGTTTCGCGGCAAACTTTGGTTGCAGGAATGAAAAACGCTTGCAGCATTGTATACGGAGCGCACCTGCCCGCTTCCAGTGCAAGTGATGCAGGAGATGCTCTCTTGCGTGCATTTTGGTGCAGTCATATAACGGCTCGGGGGTGCAACTTAAAACCTCTCATACATTGAAAACTCTGGTGAAATCCTCCTTAGGGATGGAGCGCGATGTATGGAGCAGAGGGTAAAAAGGCATTTCATTCAGTCATTCAGATGCATCCCATGTGCAAACGTTTTATTACAGAATTCGATATTGGAATAATTATGTACAGCCTGCTGCCAACACAGGACCTGAAGCCCCTTCGAAAGCAAGCATCTGAAAGTGAAATCTTGGGTATTTTATTTAGGGGGCTGTGTCAAATTTATGGATGGAAACTTGATATTCTGTATTTTATTTTCCCCAAGGATTTGCAGGCGATGAAGAATCATTGCGGGGAGAGGGGGCATTAAGGCGAGATTGCAAGTTCTTGAAACAGATTTAGGGAATGAGCTTTCCTTCATATATGAAGATGGTGCTACTCACCCATCTTTTGGCTGATTTTCCAAATGAGAAAGGAGGCTTAGCTGGTGGGTTGTCTCGCTAATCAGTGGCCCTGGTAACACCAGTGCTGTCCCCTGAAGAAGGCTGGTCAGGATCAGAAAGTCACTCAACAACCCGTGTGGCATCCTGAACTAAGAGCGCCATCTTTGGTCCTGGTACAAAAAAAAATATTCAAGGAAGCTAAACCAACTCATGAAAAGTCTCTGGCCTTTATTTCTTCTCTAGAGTGAGAGGTCAGGGAGGGAACAAGGGATGTAGAAAAAGGTAAGAGAGAGACCCATTGATGTTTTGCTCATTGAATAAATACTTCTTGAGTGCTACTCTGTGCCAGGCAGCATTCTAGATGTGGAAGCAGAAGGGCAAACCAGGCAGACCGATCGTGTCTTTTGTGGCATTCGCATTCTAATGGAGGACAGGCCATAAATGAATATGCAAACATGTAAATAAATGATAAGTGCTATGAAGAAGGTAAAACGGGGCAATGTATGTTGGGTCAGGAGGGTGAGAGGAGAAGGCCTCTGGAAGGAGGTGACATTTGTCCTGAGGGAGCTAGCCAGAAGGAAAAGCATTCTAGGGAGAGGGAACAGCAAGTGTAAAGGCCCGGAGGCAGGAACAAGCTGGCACATTTGAAAAACGAAAAGGCCAGTGTGGTTGGAGGAGGGAGGCAAATGAGGTTGGGAACAGGTGAGGCCTGCAGGCCAGGAACAGAGCTTGAGTTTTATTCTGATTGCAGTGGGTAGCCTGCGGAGGGCCCTAGACATATTTTCTGTATTCCCCAATCACGACTCAGAGTTTGACAATAGGACAAGATATTAATACATTCAGATCATAACGGTCCTCAAGAGTCCCAACAAGGTATCAATGGAAGGCTAACAAGGGACAAGGAGGCAACAGAACCATCTGCTTATAACTACCCATGAAGCCCTAAGACTTATTCTCAGGTTCAAGGCATCCCGTGGACTATTCACTTAAGTGTTCTATTCCATCCAGGGTTTGGAGCCTCTGGTAAGCTCCTGTGACCCGTGCATCCCTTTGGAGAGGAAGAAGAGGGAGAGGCCTGCTTTCTCTGGAATCCAGTGGTCACATCCCCACCTGAATGCCCACCTCAGGTGTCGTCAACATGGAGTTCTGAAGTCCCTGTGGTTCCTCACAGTGAACCAGGTGACGTGTCTCCATGAGAATTCAGATCTTCATTACCACTGTATTAAATGTGAGGGCTGGAAGGAAGCTTTGGGTTCGGACACTTCACCCCTCTCCCATTTAACCTATGAGGAGTCTGAGGCCACAGAGAGGTTACCGATTTGTCCAGGGTCACACAGCAAATTAGGGGTGGCATCAGTCCAGGATCCATGTTTCCTAACTGTCAGTCTGCTGCTCACTTGACCTCCTCCAGCACCTCTTTGCTTTACAGTTCACTTCTTTCTCCTCTGACATGAGAACTTCCTTCACCTCCGGTCTCATCCTTCTCACCCATGAAATGGGCTGATAACACTCTCTTCATGGGACAGGGTGTTGATTTGAGGGTTCAATGGCATAACAGACTGAAACACAGTTTGCAAAATGTCAGAGAGCTCTAGGGAAGTAAGATACAAGTAGTACTTGTTTATGGTTACCATGGTGATCTGACAGGCACTGAGAATATTGGGAGACTCTGGCTCATGCATGTGTTGACTTTTAGGTCTTAAGGAAAATGCAGAGACGCCACAGCAGCAACACGGATAATGTTCCACCTGAAAGGTAGGCATCCCCTCATTCCATCTGAGGCTCTGAGCTTCAGGTGGTCAAGGGCAACCCAAAACGATGGAGTAATACCTGCTCCTCAGGGCTACTTGTTAGAAGAGCAGAGGAGATCTGATTGGAAACTGCTTTGCACGGCAATGGCCTCATATCCTCAACACGTGACAGCTTGCTGTTCCTCTTATGGTAATTCTCAAAGCCTGTGCAAACAGTGATCCACTTGACTCATTGTATCAATGATTGTACCCAGGGGATTTTAATTTATAGAGGTGTCTGAGTGGCAACATGGAGAGGCGGATGACATTGAAAGAAGATTTTTATTACTTCCATTTTCCAAGATAAGGGAGCATGTCACCCTGTGCAGGGCCACATGGGGAAGCACTGGGGTCAGCCAGGAGGCAGAAAGGAGCAAAGGGAAAGCATAGGTCACAGCTTTTGTTGTGTTTTCCACACAGAGTAAGGCAGGGGAGGGGAAACAGCTTAGGATTGACTAGTTTGAATAATGTTGGTGGGCTCTAGGCTGTAGGAGTGTTCTCTAGTTGTCTGTACCTGGCCCTGAGTGATTTGGGGCAGAGGAAATATTGGCTGAGAATGGGAATTAGATAAAGGAGGTGGTTGGGGATGTGAGCTCTGGATCACAGGGGAGTTGTAAACAACTTTGGCCATTAGTTTGACCCTATAATGTGTAGATGCCAAATAGACAAGTACAGAATCTAAGAAAACATAGTTAAAACACTAATAAGCTAGAACTTCCATCTACTTAAGCCAAAGAGAGTACAGACCATGGGGACCTGTTCTCAGGTTGTGACAGTCTCCCAGCCACAACCCCCTCACCATGCTGGACTGTACATCCAAGGAACAGGCAGCCAAGCTTTTCCTCCCTTGCAGCCCATTTCAAGTCCCCTGCAATTCTTGAGATTGGCCACACAATCACAAAGTACCCACCAGTCCAGTATTGAGGTTTCCATCAAGCCTGCCTGTTCTGCAGGGAAGGGCACTGGCCTTAAGTCAGACAACCCTTGGCCAAAATCCCAGCTCAGCCACTTGCCCCTTTGCTGCTTTTGGCAAGCACCTTCACCTCTAGGCCTCAGTTTCCCCATCCATAAATGGCAGATAACAAAACTCAGGTTTGCTTATGAATGAGTGAAGACGCACAAACACGGAACCCGGCATCTAATAAGCATGGCTGTTGGAGCTTTTCCAGCCTCTGAAGACAGAATTACTCTTTGCTCTCAAATGAACGGTGAGGTCTTTGAGGACAGAGACCATGCTGGAGAAATAATAGCCACAGTGTATTGTGTGCTTATTTGTGTCACCCTCACATTAGCCTGTGGAAGTGAGGACTGTTTTTATCACCATTTTATCGATGAGGAAACTGGGGCTCAGAGAGGGTAAGTTACCTGAAGTCACAAAGCCAGGAAGTGGCAGGACTGAGGTTCAGGCCCTGGTCCATTTGACCCCTGCAAAGTCTGTGCTTTGAGACACCACATTTCATCTGCCTCCTAGCTGAGTGGATTCACCCTTCTCCCGGGCTACCTCACGTTCTAGCCTTTAAGTGGTTAAGTTGGAAGCTCAGCCTCTGCCCCTCAAGGAATATTCTTTCCCGTTTAGGCCCAGAGAAGGGAGGCCAGCTATAAAAAGGTCCTTGGTGGGTTGAGTCTTCCCTGGTTGTTGTACTGGAGGCCCCCTGAGCCCAGTGGACTCAGAGTGCTGGCAAGCTCAAGGCAGACAGGAGGCTTTCCAGGTCCCTGTGGGACTGTGGGGGAGAGAGGGCGGCCACTGTGGGCACCTGCCAGGACTCCTGCTTTCTGAGCTCAGCTTCTTGAAGTGCAGAGAAAGCTCAAGTCCCCTTGAGGATCATAGCCATGGTGTTAGTTGTTGTTGTCATTATTAATACTATCTTTATTATTATCCCAAACGCAAGAGAATAGGACCACACATTTCCTGGGCTTTTGGAGCCAGGAGGGATGGGCCATGGGAGGTAGGGGGGTGGGTAACCATCTTCAAGTTCCCTCCCTTGCTGGGGTGTCAACCTGGTGGTTTATGATAACTTATCCCCAGCTCAAGTTTGTAAGGCCAGCGAAGCCAACCCCAAGATTTCTCCAGACCGGCATCTCCCCTGCTGGGTTTCACAGGTATTCTACAAGATTGAATAGGTTTTCCATGGAAGAAAATAATCCCATGACCACATAAGTTTGGGAAACACTAGGTTTAACAAAGTTAATTTTTTCAGTTGCAGGCCTTCTCAGAGCCTTTAGTATGCTTATTCATTCACTCTTTCAAATAATATTGAGCATGTTCTGTGCGCGAGCTGCATTGTGCTGGGTAGTGATAATCCAGTGGGGAGCAAACAGTCATGGTCTTTGACCTTACGGAGCAGGGCCCAGTCTCAAGTGCCGTTCTCAGTGCTGACTGCATGTTAGAATCACCCAGAAGGCTCTGAAGAAATAGGGGTGCTGAGGCCCAACCCCAAAGATTTTGATTCAGTTGGTCAACATTGGGTCCAGGGCACCTGTATTTTTCAAAAGCTCCCTCGAGTTATTATAATGTACACCCAGGGTTGAGAGTCACAGGTAAGGAGTAAAACAATAAATATGATCAGTCTGTGCAGGGGAGGGTAGAGTGCAGTGAGGACAAAGAGCAAGGAGACTGTGTTGTCCAGGAGGTAGGCAAGGCTCCACCAAGCAAGAGAGATTTTTAGCCAGAATCTGAGGGATGAGCATAAGTTACCTAGGTGGGACAGGGTGGGGCAGAGGGACAGCCCATGAAGGGGATGGCCTGGGCAAAGGCCCTGGAAGCCCTTGGGCAGTGAGAAAAGAGCACCTGGTGAGATTGGAGTTCAGGGCAAGATAATCCAAGATATCTGGCAAGTTCATCTCTCTAAGCCTCAGTTTCTTTATCTGTAAAATGGAAATGATATTAGTCCCTATCTATAGGGTTTATCTGAGACTGCAGGAAGGAGTTTAGAATGGGAAGCCCTTTTAGTGGGTTAGTGAAATAATCAAATACATGGTTTTTTTGGTTTTTTTTTTAATGCACCCTTGTCTCTGAGTGGAGAATAGATTACATAAGATCAACTGTGAAAGCAGTGTAAAACCTCCCCTGCAGCCTCCCTCTGGGGCCATTTTGTGCCTGGATGGTAACTAGCATACTTTTTTTTATTATTATTATTAATTTATTTCTTTATGGCTGCGTTGCGTCTTTGTTGCTGCGTGCAGGGTTTCTTTAGGTGTGGAGAGCAGGGGCTACTGTTCGTTGCGGTGTGGGAGCTACTCTTTGTTGCGGTGCACGGGCTTCTCATTGCGGTGGCTTCTCTTGTTGCGGAGCACGGGCTCTAGGTGCACAGGCTTCAGTAGTTGTGGCACGCAGGCTTCAGTAGTTGTGGCTCGCGGGCTCTAGAGCGCAGGCTCAGCAGTTGTGGCACGTGGGCTTACTTGCTCTGCAGCATGTGGGATCTTCCTGGACCAGGGCTCAAACCCGTGTCCCCTGCATTGGCAGGCGGATTGTAAACCACTGCGCCACCAGAGAAGCCCGATAACTAGCATACTTTTATTAAGCACCTGGGTTGTATGCCCTGGGTTGTGGGGTCCACAGGATGAGTGGAACTCAGCACTCACTGTCAGTAAACTCAGGATGTATTTAGAGTACCATAGGGGTCTGTGGAGGTTCCTTGGGAGCCCTACTCTGGGGTGAGATAAGGAAGGGAGGGTGGCTCTTTGCCCCTCCCACTGACACAGCACATTGAGCTAATCAGCTCCACCTGTTGCGTAGACTGATTGCATTCGAAAAGGACAAGCCCAAGAGAAGACACATGACATCCAGAACTCGGGGGCATGGTTTTCATGGGAAAGTGCACCCAGTTAGGGGCTCACCATTCTCGGAAGGGTAACTCTAGGCTCTCTGCTCCTCCAGCAATGGCTCTGAAAGAGCATCAGCATCCTTTACCTGATTGCAGTACAACAGGCCTGTGCTGGGAGCTAGAAATGGCAGTTAGCCCTGGAGGTTTTCCATAGGGATTAGAGATAATAGTTCCCATTTACTAAGTGCCAGGTCCACTGAAAGGGGTATTCTAAATTTGATCCCCGGGAATTCTATGCATGAATGGTGTTTATACCCATTTTCCAGGTGAGAAAACTGAGTGTAGGATTGTTAAGACCCCTGGGAAGGGTGGAGCTAGGGTTCAAATGTGGGCTTCTCTAATTAAATCTTCTTCCCATTACTTTCTGCTGCCCTCCAAATACCAGTTGTGACCAAGGTGAATCCTCTTGGGAACTGGGAATCATTGAACTCGGAGATTACAGAACCAGGGGTACCTGAGTTTCTGAGGTTATTCTAGAATCAGAGGACTCTGTGCTCCCTTTTCAGTAAAGTATAGTGGTTAAGAAAGCAGGCTCCAGAGGTAGCCTTGCTGGGTTTGACTCTTCCCTGTTCCATACCATACCAGCTGTGTGATCCTGGACAAGTTACTTTGTTCTGTGCCTCAGTTTCTTGATCTGTAAGATGGTATTATTAGTACCTAGTTCACAGGGTTGATAGGAAGATTTAATGAGTTAATTAATGGAAAGCACTTAGAAAAGTATCTGGCACATAGTAAAATTTTGGTAAAGATTATGACCCTATTGCTATTATTACTTATATTAGTTTGCTAGGGCTGCAGGGTAACAAGGTATCACAGTCTAGATGGCTTAAACTACAGAAATTTGTTTTCTACAATTCGGGAGGCTGGAGGTCCAAGATCAAGGCATCGGCAGGGTTGGTTTCTTCTGAGGCCTCTCTTCTTGGCTCACAGATGGGCACCTTCTCTCTGTGTCTTCACATCGTCTTCCCTCCCGCATGTCTGTGTCCAAATTTCCTCCTCTTACAAGGACACCAGTCATATTGGATTAAGGCTGGCCCTAATGATCTCATTTTCACTTACCTCTGCAAAAGCCCTGTCTTCAAAAACTGTCACAGGCTGAGGTACTGGGGGTTAGGGTCTCAACATATGATTTTCCTGGGGCAGGGGCCCCAATTCGGCCCATAACATCACTGATAGGGTCATTTGCCCTCCATCCTCCACTGCCTGACTTGGTGGGGGCTTTCTCCTCCCTTCTGGCCCAGAAATCGCAGTCAAGCGCTCAGCTCTGAGGCGAGTGTGGACGAAGGCGGAGTCTTTGAGAGTCTGAAGGCAGAAGCGGCCTCCCCGCCAGCGCTCTTCTCCGGCTTATCGGGCCTCCCGACAGGCAGCCTCCCCGCCACCCCTTTCCCGTCCAGCCTGGTGTTGGGGGCCGCGGCGGGCGGTGGGGACGTGTTCCTCCAGATGCCCACATCCAGGGAGGAAGGTGGGGGCCGCGGTGAGGGGGGCGCCTACCACCACCGCCAGCCCCACCACCACTTCCACCACGGCAGCCACCGCGGGGGCTCCCTGCTGCAGCACGTGGGCGGGGACCACCGCGCGCACTCCGATGAGGCGGGCGACGAGCAGCCAGGGACGCCCGCCCCGGCCCTGTCCGAGCTGAAGGCCGTGATCTGCTGGCTCCAGAAAGGGCTGCCCTTCATCCTCATCCTGCTGGCCAAAGTGTGCTTCCAGCATAAGCTTGGTGAGTGTGGAGGGATGCAGGGCTCAAAGACTGCCGCCTTACCCGTTGGGTAGGGGGATGGGCTCTCCATCCCAAGTGCCAAGGGAAGGCAGTAGAGGTCCTTGTGGTGCAAAGTCCTTAAGAGTCCAGGATTCTGAGTCAGACCTGGGTTCAAATCCTGGCCGACTAGCTCTGTGACTTGGGGCAAGCCACTCATATTCTTTGAGCCTCAGATTCGTCATCTCTCTAGCGGGGTTGTGGTAGAAACTCCCACAGCTGGTTGGGTGATGTGAAGGAATAGAGTGTACTACCCAGGAGTTCAGACTGCTTGGGTCTGAACCTGGGCTCTGCCCCCTTCCTAGCTGTGTGACGCTGGGTACATTATTTAACCTCTCTGTGCCTCAGTCCAATCATCCATAAAAAGGGGATTAAAATCGTATATGTACTATTACAAATACTATTACATATGTATTATAGCTATACATAGACTCTAATAGTATGTTACAGATACTATTATAGTATATGAACAGCATCTGCCTTCGTGAGATTGAGTGAGGTTAAATGAGTAAACATATGTAAAGCACTTAGGACAGTGCCTGGCAGAGAGTAAGTGCTATGCAAGTGTAGATTATTATTTTTATTATATTCATTATTAATACATGTAAGATACTTAACATAGAACCCTGCACATAGCAAGTGCTCAGTAAATACTACCTATTATTATTATTCAGAAGTAAGATAATGATTCATAAAGTGCTTAGCGTAGTACCTGACACACTTAACATTCAATAAATGTGGTTTCTGGTCCACTGTTGTTATTATCTGTTACGTACTGTTATTAGATCATGATGTTCCCGTGCCCTGGAGAGTTTAGGCTATTGTTTTTATCTTATGGTAGAAATTACAGTACTAATTACTGTCTCATGGCTTATTACATCCCACAAGAAATATCTAGAGGAGTTTAGGCCATCGTTTGTGTCTCATTTGCCCCTTTCTGGTGGGTTCCAGCTGACTCAGATCACTCCTTCCTTTTTGGGGTGCTACCATGTCAGTCCCTCCCTTTTTATTCCTAGAAATGGAACCTGGCGTGTTCTCCCTTACCCTGAATTCCAGCAAACTCATCACTAATTTTTATTCTCAAGTTTGGTCATTTTGTTTCTCACTTGGCAGGTTTTTTTGTTTGATCAAAGAGAAGAGTACAAGAAGAGATTGTGGGGTTACTGGTTTTGATTTTTTATGTTTTTAATGAAGAAACACATCTTTTACAAAGAAGATCTGGAAGAATGCCTGGAATACACGTACTATTTAAAAAGTAAAAGTGAACTCCAAGCTTGGGAACTGTGCATGTCATGTGAAAGCAGAATCCTTTCCACAGGGAACAAAAAGTAGGATTCGAAAATTCCTATTTAGGGAGAATTCCAAGATGGTAGCTTGCTAAATTATGGAATAAAATTCAGTTCTTTTGCCCTACCCTGCAAGGGTCATGTTTTCCTGTCAGCTAGGAATTCTTTCCCCTTTAACATGAAACTTCAATTTCTTATGGTGTTGTGGTCTTTTTCTACATATGCTTTTATTACAAATAACACGCCTCAGATTCTTTTTGAAAGTAGAAATGATAATAGGCACCACTTACTAACTTCTAGAGATTGTACACTGTAAGCAGTATCCCTCCTTGAGTTAAGTACTGTTATTATTCTGTCTGTTTTACAGAGGAGGAAACGGGGGCTCAGAGAGGTGCAGTGATTAGTCCAAGCTGAGATTTGAACACAGGTCTTACCAGACTGCACAGCCCATGCTTCTAACTGGTTCTATAAAATATGCCCACAGTGGCCTCAATCCCATCCCTAAGTCAGAGGCCTCCTCTCAGGGTGGCTTGGGGTTCCCAGTGATATACATGGCAGCCCAAATGCCCCAGAAATGGGATTTTTCTCTCCTCAGTGGTTAGCGTGTCAACCCCAAGGGGACCAGGGATGTGTCCCTAGTAAGCCCGGACCAGGCCTGACAAGTCTAAGTGGGTGGTCTCGGCCCCTCCTCTGTCCTGCAGGCATTGCCGTGTGCATCGGGATGGCCAGCACCTTCGCCTATGCCAACTCCACGCTCCGGGAACAGGTCTCTCTAAAGGTGAGTCACCTGGTAAATTACTCTCCTGGGGCCGCTGTAACAAATGACCACAAACTCGGTGGATTAAAACAACACAAAGGGATTACTCACAATTCTGTAGATCAGAAGCCTGAAGTGGGTCCCTCTAGCCTAAGATCAGAGTGTCAACTGGACTATGTTCCTTCTGAAGGGTTCAGAGGACAGTCTCTTTCCTTGCCTTTTCCAGGTTCTAGAAGTCACCCACATTCGTTGGCTCATGGCCCCTTCCTCCTGCTTCAAGCCAGCAACGTTGCATCTCTGTGACCATCCCTCCATAGACACATCTCCCTCTGACTCTCCTCTTCTGTCTCCCTCTTCCACTTTTACGGACCCTTGTGATTACATTGGACCCTCCTGGATGATCCAGGAGACTGTCCCCCACACAGGGTCAGCTGATTAGCAAACTTAATTCCACCTGCAACCTTTATCGCCCTTTGCCACGTAACCTAACATATTCACAGGTTGCAAGGATTAGGACAGGAACACCTTTGGGAGGCCATTCTTCTGCCTCCCAGCCTGGGCAGATCCCCGGATGTGCCATCCTTCTCCCTTCCAACAGCAGCCTCTCCCCGTGTGTCCCGGCCCATTCCCCTTATCCTCCCGGCATTCAATCAGGTAGCTCACTTCCAACCCATGCTCATGGTTAAGGCTGCCCCATGGGCACTGCTGGGTGGCCGTACGGCTTCACCACCGTCATCCCGAATGCCCTCTGGTATCTGCCGAGCGCTAACCATGTCCAGCACGGTGCTGGACCCATTACACAGCTCCTCTTGCAGTTTCATCCCAGCAACCTGGGAGGGAGGCAAAATCATTCTGAACTCATTTTCCCAATGAGGAAATAGTGGCCCAGAATTTCTTGGCTAAGACATAAGTTTCTTGCCTAAGGCCACACAGCCAGCGTGAAGGGTGGCATCAGGATATGAACCCAGGCATTGAGCCCAGAGCCTGTACTCCCCACCAGATTCAAATTCCAGTTCCTCCACCCTCCTGCAAGCCCTTGGATGGGTAACCTCGCTGATCTCAGCCTCAGGTGCCACCCCTGGAAAAGGAACTGCCACACCAACTTCATACACCCATCGAGAGGATTAAATGAGATGGTGCATGGAAGGTGTTTAGTGCAGTGCCTGGCTCACAGGAACAACTTAATTGAGCTATTTTTAACAAGCCTGTTTTCTGCTGTACATGTGATCCTATGATAGCCACCATCCTCTCTGACCTTGCTCTGGGGTCATCTGCTTTCTCAGAAGCACCTAGGCGTCCATGAGGCACAGATGCCAGCTCAGTCTTTATTTGATACCTGAGCACACTGAAGTCTGGCGTTGGGCGTGGAGCCAGAGGTTCTTCTTGACCCTGAGTCTCATCTTCTTCGTGCAGACCCCTTTCTGCTGCTATTAGAACAGCAGTTGCTCAATGTCATAGTGGAGGCTATTGGGGCTGGCTCTTTCTCAGATGCAGTAACATCCGCGTGGTGCCTTGACTTGAATTTTAGGGGCAAGGGGATGCCTGTATCCATGGACAGGCTTCTAGGGGTCTTTGAACCCTATGAAGACCCAGGTGATGATTTGCCTGTCGGGGTATATTTCAGTGGAAAAGAGTCTGCATGACTCTTAGTAAGTTTAGGAATCGCAACTTACTACTGGAGAAGTGCCCCATTTGTCCTTCAGGGTCTGGCTTCTCGGAGCATTGCTAATTCCCTTTCTCTTCCACTTTTGGTTTGGATTTACGGAGGATTAAACCGGAATCTATTATTTATTGGCATAAAAAGGGCTGCCGAGTGGATTAATCACATTGATAAGAGCAGTTGGTTGGTTGGAGGTGGTTTCTCAGGCCGTTAACCTTGACCCCTCCTGGAATAATGGGTAGATGGAGATGCATTTATTTTGTCTACACTATGGAAATGTGTGTTGTAACAGTGTGTCGAGCACTGAGCTGTGTCTGGAGACAGTGGAGCATTTACTGAAACCACAGGGAAGGTTACACTGGGAAAGTTATGACCTCATCTTATTCCAGCAATGCAGCCGCCCTGGTCCAGGAAAAGACAAGCTTTTCAGCTTGTCAGCAGCATGGGGGTCTGATTATGTATCCCAGGGTACACAGGCAGGGATGCCCTGCTCTACGCCTCCTCTAGAAATTTCCTTAGGTTGCTGTCAGGCTGAGAGACTACTGAGAAACAGCCAACTGAGAAGGTTTCCCAGCTCGTCTTCCTGGGGACTAATCAGAAACAAGCCTGGAGAAAGAGAAGCGGGGCTAGATTGCAAAGGGCTTTGACATCCTTGTGTACGAGTTTGAATTTAACCCTATAAATGTGGCCCTATGTTGAATGGTCAGTCCAGGGCAGTAGCCCAAAGGTCCATGGCGGAAAAAGTTAGAACAGAAGTTTCCAACCTGTCGATCTGAATCTACTTCTGGGTTATAAAGTCAGAACAACAAGTCCTACCATTTAGTGAGCCTGAAATGTGAGCCTGTACCAGACTGAATGTTTACATTTATCAAATTTACTTAATCCTTAACAAAGCCTCATTTTTTTAAAAAAATTATTTATTTAATTTTAGCTGCGTTGGGTCTTCGTTGCTGCACGCGGGCTTTCTCTAGTTGTGGCGAGCGGGGGCTACTCTTCGTTGTGGTGCACGGGCTTCTCATTGCAGTGGCTCCTCTTGTTGTGGAGCACGGGCTCTGACACATGGGCTTCAGTAGTTGTGGTGCACAGGCTTAGCTGCTCCACAGCATGTTGGGGTCTTCCCAGACCAGGGCTCAAACCCATGTCCCCTGCCTTGGCAGGTGGATTCTTAAGCACTGCGCCACCAGGAAGTCCCAAAACCTCATTTTTTAATAGGGCACCGGAGCTTAAAACATGTGCCCTTGAGCCAGAGTTACTTAATTTCTCTGTGCCTCAGTTCCTAACAGTAAATGTAAACTAACATTTCTTACATGCCAGGTACTGTTCTAAGCAGTTCATGTACATTAATTCTCAGACTCTAGAAGAGAGATACAATGTATACCCATTTTACAGACGAGTAAAGAGAAATGTAGAGAGTTTAAGTAATTGCCCAGGGTTGGACAACCTCCAGATAATAGAACAAGGATTTGAACCCAGGCCACCCAGCTCCAGAATCTGTTTTGCTAACCATGGTGCCCTCCTGACTCTGGATAGTTCTCCAAGCAGTTTCACACATTTCTGTTACCTTCTCTGTAACCATCCCTTACGTTCCAGTGGGATGGAAAGATGCCAACGCCCTTCCTTTCACCATTAGCCCCACTTCCTCCAAACCTTTGAGAAAGGGAAAAGTTGCCCTTTGTCGGGGAACATTCTGGAATATCCTGCCAGGTGCACCTTTGGCATTTCAGCATCTCCACAGGTCTCTTGCTTTGTCTCTAGGAGAAGAGGTCGGTGCTGGTCATTTTGTGGATCTTAGCCTTTCTGGCGGGGAACACCCTGTATGTGCTCTACACGTTTAGTTCCCAGCAGCTGTATAACAGGTGAGCAGGGGAGTCTGACCCCCAGTGAGAAAGTGGGGGGCTTTGTTGGACTCGGGACCCACAGCCCCTTCATTTGAGAACAATGCAGCAGCTCTAGGTCATGTTGTAACTTTCAAATCCCACCCTGTTGTCATATACACGTGCTTAGAGCATAATTCTTTACAGAAATATAATGCAAGCCACATGTGTAATTTTGCATTTTCTAGTAGCCACATAGTGCATGGTTGGGGAGGACTGGCCAGTAATGGTCTCTAGCACAGGGCTGAAACTCAAGCCAAGCTTTCAGATCATGTCCATCTGTTTTAAAAATGGACTTTGAGGAGTGACCCGTTTCACCACTTTCTGGGGCCACCCGAAGTTGCATGAAAGCAATTTGGGAAGTTAGCTCCAAGGCATCAACATGCATCCCGCACACTGCATTAGTTGCCTGGCCCAGAAGATCAAGGTCCTGGTGGAGGGTAAAGGAGATGGAGTTTCCCAGAACCTTGGAGGAATTTCCAGCTCATGCCATTCTCTGGGCATGATCACATTCACAGGCTCAGACCTCTGCGCCCTCATCAAACCAGTGCTGGGTCAAACTGGCAGCACACAAAGAGAAAGAGAGTGACCTCGGAGAAAAGCAACAGAGTTGAGCCTCCTTCCTTACTGATGTCAGTGGTCTAGAGTGTGTTTGTAAATGATACCAATAGCCATTATCTTATTTTGCCCTCCCACTTTGTAGGGTATTGCTGTCCCTGTTTTACAGGTGAGGAAACTTTGGCTTAATGAAACCCTTTCTAATAAGCCTTAGTCCCAGTAGGTAACAGAGAGTTTGAATCATCCCAGGATTTGAAGTCTGATGACCAGTGTCAGAGGTTCTTAGTCTTTCCACGTACCAGCTTTGTGCCCTTTGGCAAACAGTGGAACCTCTTCGAACCTCGCGTAGTTTCTGCATTTGTGAAACTGAGAGCAAGTTAATTTCTGCCTTACCCACCTGAAGGTCATTACCCACCACAGGCTAATTATTAGAGAGGCCAAATGTTAATAATATGTGAAAAGTACTGGGCAAACTATGAAACATTTGATATGTCATAATCTTATCATAATATTATTCTTTTATGATAAATTACTTTATCTACTGGGGGTGATGGCTAACGGGGCAGAAAACTGACAATAGAATGTATCCATCCATTAAAGTTCATAGTGTACGTTAGAAATAAGTGGACTTAGTGATCAATCTGCGGAAAAACACTTGGGCATCTTTCTGGCTCCAAAAGCCAAAACAGAAAAAACTCTAAGACAATGAACTAAAACCTATGTGGGTGAATTTAACAGATTGGTGTCTCTGAGGTAAAATGGAAAGTAGAGGGCAGATTTTCATTTCTTTTGTGATCAGAGATGTATAATAGAGAAGCAGGGCATGGAAGTCAACCAGCCAGCCTGGGTTATGCCCAGGGAGGGACAAGAGCAGAGACAAAAAGGGGAGCTCAGGACTGCCAGCCTCTCCCCATGTCGTAATTCGGATGCCACTCAGACTTGGAGATGAGGCATCCCACAGAGACGGGGCTCAAATGTGGAAGGACACCAAAGGTATCATGAGAGATTGCAAAAATAGATTATTTTCATTGATTTAACCCTACTCTCGTTCTTCAAACACTTTTTATTCTAAATAGAAATTGACTTTAAAAAATAAAAGTACAAAAATAGACCAGTTCATTCCGTATTCCACCAGCCCAGCAGAGTATGTGGGAAGCATTTAGAAAGCATTCACTCTGGGTTGTGTGCACTGTCCCCTGCTTTTTGGCGGACAGGCAGGACTCGGAGTGGCCTTTGCTTGGAGCCTCTAATCTGGCGGGAAGAAAAGCGAGGGGGCCAGCACAGTTTGGGTGCTGGTTCCAATCCTAGCTCCACATTCTAGCTGAGATGCCGTGGGCGGTGACTCCACGTCAAAGCGCTCCAGATTCCCCAGCTCAAGATGCGATAATCATAGTGCCTACCACATAGAGCCTTTGGGAAGATGAAATGACCTGAGACATGTAAAGCATGTAGACTAGGGCCAGCATGATGTAGAGAGCCAAGATATTATCAATACGAATAACATCATCATCCACAGAGGTGATGGAGAGCAGTGCTACTCAGCATGTGGTGTATGGATCAGTGCCAGTTCGAGAATGACTTGTTGTCTGTCCCCAGTGAGGGAAGTACAGAAATTGAGTGTGAGGTTGACTTACCTGGTCACGGATAGGTAAAATGGGTTTACACACTCCAAGTAGTACTGCTGTGGAATAAGGATTGAGAGCAGTAACTGTAGCCAGGACACCTGGGTTCGAATCCACCACCGTTCCATCATATTTGTAGGACCTTGTGCATGTTCATTTACCTTTCTGTGCCTCTCTTTTCTCATCTGCAAAATGGGTAGATAACAATGCCTGCCTCATAGAGATGTTGTTATCATTGTCACTGCTGCATTACAGAGTCTGTAGATACCTATTATCTCACTGAATCCCACCAGTAACACTGAGGGAGGGAACGATTCCCATTTTATTGATGAGAACACTGAGGCTTACAGAGAGAACATTATCTGCCTAGGGTCCAGTAATGGAGAGGCCTGGATTCAAATTCAAGTCTGTCTGATACTGATGCCCATATGCTTATCATGCAGTGTGACCTTGGGCAACTTAACTTCACATCTTCAAGCTTCAGTGCCTCATTTATAAAGTGGGGATGAGCAGTGCTCACTCTGCAGGACAGTGAGATACAGTGAGTAAATTGCTTAGCGCAGCGTCTGCACATCAAATCCCTCCTCCCTCCTTCTCTCTCTCTCCCTCCTTCATGTTATTGGTCGGCCTTCCTTCCTTCCTTTTGTTTCCTCTTGTGAAGCCTGTTGTGGCCCATAAAACTGGAGGGGACCTTAACTAATGATGCTCTAGGCCAGTCTCATCATTTAACTCTCAGGGGAACTGAGGCTCAGAGAGGTTAAGATACCCACCTGAGGTCACACAGCAAGTTAATAGCAGATTCAGGAACAGGGCACAGATATCTGACTCCCAGCTTAGTGCTCTTTCTATAGGTAATATTTACAAGGCTCCTAGAATGAGTAGAAGGGCCCCTAAGGGCCAGTGACCCTAAGTGAGCATCCTGACTCTCTGACTCCTCCCCCAGCCTCATATTCCTGAAGCCCAACCTGGAGACGCTGGACTTCTTTGACCTGCTGTGGATCGTGGGCATCGCAGACTTTGTGCTCAAGTACATCACCATCGCCCTCAAGTGCCTTGTCGTGGCCCTGCCCAAGATCATCCTGGCTGTCAAGTCCAAGGTAGGCCCATCACGCCAATCATGCAGGGGTTTCAGGATGCCTTCTGGAGAAGGAAAGGTTGGACTTCGGCAGAGCTAATGTCAGTCCATCAAATGAACAAAGCCTGAGCTAGTAGATCCTGTCTCCCACCTCTTGTCATCCCTTGAAGCTGAGCATCATTCTTTATTGTCACCACCTTCTTGTCACGCCTCTGCTCTCCAAGTGCATTTACTAAGTTTTGTTGTTCAAAGCTGGCATTGATGCAATTTTCATCTAAGTTTCACCCAAGAAAGGAAAAAAAAGCACATTGACATGCCCTGGGTCCTGCTTCTCCCAGGGAAGGATGGCTCTCAAAGGTTTTTGACTCTTTGTGGCTTCTGGGGCACTTTATATAGAGGGTAGTGAGGCTCAGGAGAAAAGGACTCTGTGATCCATGAGTGATGCCTGCCACGGACACAGGAAGCAGACTGGTGGCAATGATTCTTTGGAGTGTACCTTAGGGAGAGGCCTGCAGGAGGTGTTGGGATGAAGAGGTCTTGGGGGATAATCATTGTAATTCAGAGGGCTGAGCAGTGTGAGGAAAAGACATCACGGTTAGGTCAGAAAGCTCAGAATTTGTCCCAGGCATTGGTTGGCAGAAGAGCAGGTTGGAATTGACCATCTGTCTTGAGTGACAACTGATCAAATCACTGGCCAGGTGTATAGGAAAAACACACTCCTGTGTTTCTTCTGTACACACACACACTCAATACCTCCTACACCAGATGTGTGGGTTTTCCACACATCATGTAATTCAGTATCCTTCAGTTTAACACAGTTCTGACACTATCCACCTCGAGATAGTGTCAGATCCCACAGGATAAGGTCTCAGTCCCGCAAGACTGCCCCTGTCACTTCAGATGCCAGTCACCAGCCCCAAGTTGGCACCTGTACTTCTGACCAGCCGGCTACAAATCAGGGTTCCCATGACCCCCTCCTTGGGTTCAGTGCCCCTTGGGTTCTAGATGCCCTGAACCTTTTCCTTCATAGCAGTTGTGGCACTTGGTTGAAGGCAGGAGACGTGAATCCAGGCATGTGAGGAAGCTGGCTCCGCACTGACTGCCTGGAGTAATAATGGCTCGCAGTTATTGAGCACCGACTGTGTACCTGAGACTGTACTAAGAGCGCTTCATGTATGAATTACCTTACGTAGCCTCTTGCTATTCCTCTCAGGGAGGTACGGTTCCTGTCACTGATGAGGAGGAGACGGAAGGTTGAGCAGGCAGACAGCTATTAAGTGGAAGAGTTGGGACTCCAGCCCAGGGCTTCAGCTTCGCGGCCCAAGCTGTACCTCACAGTGGGTATGGGAGAAAGATAAGGAAAACAGATAGAGAATGGTTACTCATTGCCTGGTGCATTCTGGTTCTTGATAGATTCTTTCCCATGTCTTGACTCATATAAGGCTCTCAACACCCCTCTGAGTGAGAGAGAGATTATTATCACCTCTTTCTAGATGAAAAGCTGAGTACAGTCATCCCTCAGTATCTGCGAGGGATTGGTTCCAAGATCGTCCTCGGATACCAAAATCCATGGACGCTCAAGTCCCTTACATTTGGTCCTCCATATCTGCGGTTCCGCATCCTCGGATTTTCTATGTGAGATTGGTTGAATCCACAGACGAGGAACCTACGGATACAGAGGGCCCACTGTATTCATTTCCTGTGGCTGCTATAATAAATAACTACATGCCTGGGGCTGAAAACAATAGAAATTTGTTCTCTCACAGTCCTGGAGGTCAGAAGTCCAAAATCAGTGTCACTGAAATGAAATCTAGGTGTCAGAGGTGTGTGTTGGGGGGTGCTGGATGTTAGGGGAGGATCCTTCCTTGCGTCTTCCAGCTTCTGGTAGCTGGCAGCATTCCTTAGCTCATGGCAGCATCACTCCAGTCTGCCTCTGCGGTCACCTGGCCTCTGCTGTGTATGACGTCTCCTTCTGTCTGTCTCATACAGATACATGTGACTGCATTTGGGCCCCACCCAGACAATCCAGGATACTCTCCCCGTGCCTAGAGCCTTAATTTAATTGTGTCTTCAAATACCCTTTTTTCAGATGAGGTCACATTCACAACTTCCAGGGTTTGGGACCTGGTATCTTTGGGTGGCCATTTTTTCACTTACCCTGTACTGTGGCTGAAAGAGGTGTGAGATACTCTGTCCAAAAAACACCCAGCTGTTCAGTTATAGAATCAGAATTCACATCTTCCAACTCCCAAGGCCATGGCCACGTCAGGATATCATCTGCCCAGCACTGAATGGATGTCGGAATTCCTGGGCCATTCCTGACCCTGCCACTTTCCAGCCACGGGGCCTTGGGTGAGTCACTACATGTGCCTGAACATGTTTCTTCCCTTAGAAAATTGAGAAGTTTACAAAACCCCGTTTGAGATGCTGCAAACATAAAAAGACTTTATGTATGTGGGTGAAATGAGGGGTGGGTTGTCATTGCCGGGAGAGGAAGCAGGTGAGGCTTTGCAGCCCACCTGCCTATCCAGCATCCTTACTCTTCCTCTCACTCTCTCCTGCCCCTCTTCCCTCTGTTCCCTGTGCTTCAGCCAGACCCTTCTTTCATTTCCTTCCATACACCAACTAGTCCCAATCTGGCATGTGGTAGATGTTCTAACCCCATTTTCCAGATGAGAAAACTGAGGCACTGAGACTGAGTAACTAACCCTTACAGCTTCCAGAGTCAGCTGTGTGCTGCCCTTCTACCTCAAAGACCCTTTTCCTTTCTTGTGTTTTAGCCACCTCCTGCTCCTCCTGCAGATCACAGCCTCTTAGAAACCTCCCCTGCCCCTTCAGGTGAGGTATGGTGCCCCTACTGGGGACTCTCACAGCACCCTGTACTTCCCCTGTTCCAGCACTCACTACCCTGACTGTAATTGCTTGTTTAATTGTCTGCCTGCTCTGCTTGACTGTAACCTCTGTGACAGCAGGAAATGAATGCATCTGGTTTCTTTGTTGATGGATCACCAGCATCTGATATATACTTGGAAGCATTCATTGTATGTATGTGTATATGTTTGGGTGGGTAGATGGATGGGTGAATGGATATATAGGTAGATGGATGAATTGGATGGCTAGATGGGAAAGTTGGTGGATATGTGGACAGATGGATAGTCCAGTGATTGTGTGGATAGATGGATGGGTAGATGGATGGATGGATATTTAGATAGATGATGGATGGGTACGTGGATGGATGGATGGATGGTTGGATGGATGGATATTTAGATGGGTAGATGGATATTCAGATGGATATTTAGAAGGATGGACAGACAGGTTGGTAGATGGATGGGTGAGTGGATGAGTTGATAGTCTAGACAGCTACACTAACTCTCATCACCTCCTCTTGTAACCTCAGTGAGAGCTTAGACTCCATTGTCAGCTCAGCTCAAACCTCTCGTATATGGTAGGTGTCCAGACACCTCTGTCATGAAGACACCAAAACCTACAAGGCAAAGTAGTACTCACTTCCCTGTGCTAGAAAGGAACATGCAGCAAACCTTCAAAGAAATGCAGCAACCAGACCAATAGTAATAAATGCAAGTAAACATTGCTGAACAATTACCAGGAGTCAGGAGGCAGTGTGTTAAGCACTGCCATTTGTTCAAGAAGTAGTTACTAAATGCCAGAGGTGTGCCAGGCACTGTTCTAGGCACAGGGATACATCAATATCAAAGTACAAAGTAGACGAAAATCTACATACTCATGGAGTTTATAGTCTACTGAAGACATCGTCTTGTTTAATCTTAGCAATCCTGGGAGGTAGATACTGTTGATACCTCTCTGCACAGAGCAGAAACTGAGTTAAATAACCTGCCAGAGATTGCAAACCTCAGAGTAACAACGCTGATGGCAATAGGAAGAGCTGATGTGGAGTCAGCCCTTCATGTGGGCCAGGCCCTGCTCTAACCCTTTTCCCTCTGACATCTGTCTCACAAGGCAAGTGCTGTTGTTTTGTGGGTTTTTTTAAAAATTGAGGTAAAATTCACATAACATAAAATTAACCAGCAATCATTTTATTTTATTTTATTTTATTTTTATAAATTAGAACTGACATTTATTTATTTGTTTATTTTGGCTTCGGTGGGTCTTCAAGAACTGACATTTATTTATTTATTGTCTGTTTGTTTATTTATTTAGGCTGTGCTGGGTCTTCATTGTGGCCTGTGGGCTTCTCTAGTGGTGGTGCACGGGCTTAGTTGCGGTATGTAGGATTTTAGCTCCCTGACCAGGGGTCGAACCTGGGCCTCCGGCATTGGGAGCATGGAGTCTTCCACCGGACCACCAGGGAAGTCCCAGCAATCATTTTAAAGTATACAATTCAGTGCCATTCAGTACATTTACGGTGCTGTGCAACCATCACCTCTATCTAGTCCTAAGAGATTTTCATCACCCCAAAAGGAAACCCCATACCCATTCAGTCACTCCCCCTTCCCTCTGGCCACCACCAATCTGCTTTCTACCTCTATGGATTTACCTATTCTGGGCATTTCATATAAATGGAATCATACATTATGTGACCTTTTGTGTCTGGCTTATTTCACTTAGCATCATATTTTCAAGATTTATCCACATTGTAGCAGAAATCAGCACTTCGTTCCATTTGAATGGCTGAATAATATTCCATTGTGTGGATAGACCACCCTTTGTTTATCCATTCATCCATTGATGGACATTTGGATTGCTTCCGCTTTTTAGCTATTGGGAATAGCAGTGCTTTGAACATTTGTGCAGAAGTATCTGTTTGAACACAGTTTTTCTGGGTAAAGACTTAGGAGTGGAATGGCTGGGTCATATGGTAATTCTATGTTTAACTCTTTGAGGAACCACCAAACTGTTTCCCACAGCAGCTACACCATTTTACACTCCCAGCAGTTGCTGGTTTTATCCCTGTTTTCCAGAGGAAAACAAGCGCAGTGAGAAGTTAAGACGTAGCCCAAGGTCACACAGTGTATGAGTGGCTGAGTGGGGATTTGAACTCAG